AAAGAGTTTAGAAAATTTAATTATAATGTCTCCCAACCACGATCTCGTCGTCAGGATTTTGATACACTCAATGACTCTTTTGAGTCCGACGTTCCATATGATGGACAACCAATACCAGAGTCTCTGGGATTGTCGTCTTTTAATCCTCAAAAAAGTGACGGTGGTGTTGGTGGAACATCCTCTCAACGTTCAATGAGAGCGAAGAAAACAAAATTAAAACAGAAAAATAAAGAGCAGTTTTCTCAATATTCTAATACTCTGAATGCTAAAAGTGATACTATTGCTGATTTGTTGCTTAAGGCCGAAGAACGCCAAAGTGTCCAACTCCAATTGCAGAAACAACGATTTGATTTTCAGGAAAGAAGGGATGAAGATAGCATTTTGATGATAGGTTTGAATTCCCTTATGAATCCCATGTTAGGTCGACATTAGGAAAAAAAAACAAAGCAACAACAACCTCAAGCAACACTACCATCATCTAACAGGAGTCACTTAGATTTCTTGACGACATTGTTGGCTATTACATTTATGCAATTGCCTACATTTTTCCATCCAAACTCATTTCCGGTCAATATGGTAAGTTTTAATTTTTGTTTATTTAATTTGTGTTTACATCCTTAATATTGTAATAAATATTTTAATGTTTAACTATTATGGTTTCGAAACTAATTTCATTGTGTTATTGTTATACTGGTAGTTATAATTAATATTATATTTTGATTTAACCGTCACAATATGTTATTACATATCTCTTCTTTCAACTGTAGACTCATTTCAAAACTTTAATTTCTATGATATATATGATTGTCTATTTTAAATTCATGTTTAATCTCAGAGTATATAAAATGTTATGTTATTCATTATATTCATACAACAATTGTCATTAGTATATGTAAAACTCCACATGCATATTATCTTTTTACTAAAATCTAAAACTTAAGCTAATATGTATTAATTAGTAAATAACTTACTTAGTTAATATAACAATTCAATTATAAATGTGATACATATTATCAATTAACTTTTGATTTTAATATTCTTTTTCTATAAAAAGTTTGTGTTAAAATTTATTTTTTATTTTTTATTTTTTTGCGTGATCTTTAAATTCCAAACAAATTTGGTAATGAAAGAGAGATTCATAGGAAGCAATGATGTATGGTGAAAAAATTATTTATGACACTTTCCAAACCAATTTTGTTTTCATACCTAAATACAAAGAATAATATTGTGACATGTAAAATTCCAAAGTGTGCGTGCCTGCGCAGAGGCTCTGATATAGCACATAGGAATAGCTCGGTGAACCACACAAAAGAGAGCTGGGTCCATGAACCAGTAACAACTAAACGTTCCAAGCAAGAGTTTGTAATGTGAAGTTCGGCTTGGTAGTAGCTGGGATGGCGATATGGCTCGCGGATGCTAGTACTTGGGTATCGTAGGAGCTCGGTATAGTGAGGGCTCGGTATAGTGAGAGCTCGATTTAATAGTTGTTATGCTCGAGAATGTTAATAGCTCGAATTTATAGGAGTTAGTAGCCTGATATCGTAGGAGCTCGGTATAGTGAGAGTTGGGTTTGATAGTTGTCAGGCTTAGAAATGTCAGTAGCTCGGTATTATAGGAGCTGAGCGTTGAAGGACCCACCATAAGAGTAGCTCAGTATAACGGGGCAAGGGGGTCTGTTGAGGAGAAACCGACCTATAGTGATGCTCTCTATGCTAGGGGTCGAACTATGGAAGTGGTTATGAAAGGTGGTCCATGGAGGACACGTGTAGAACGAATACATGTAAGGTTAATCACACTCTAAAACCCTAAATACTACATACAGTTTAGGGGTGAGCATGAGTCGGTACGGTTCGGAGATTGAGAAATCTCCTGAACCGTACCAAAATTCAGAAATTACTAAATTTGATCTCCAGTATCGTACCAAAAAATCGGTTCAGATGGTTCAGTTCGAAGATTTTTATTTTTTCGGTTCGGTTCGGTATTCGGGACTTTTGGAACGGTTCGATTCGGCATGGCTCGGTTCGAATCTTTAAAGATTTATTATTTTTAAATTTTTTTTAGTAACTACCTAGTTATATTTTAATTTTTATATGCTTTTAATAAACAAAATTCATCAATACTTCATCATATTGAAGATTTCATTTTGATATCCACTTTAGAAGTAACTCTAAATATTAGTTATTTAATTGTTATATTGTTTAAAAAAAACCAGCATTCATCAATACTTCCTTATTTTAAAGATTTATTTTGAAATCAACTTTAAAAATAACTTTAAATTTTAGTTAAAACTAAATTTGTGCAACTAATATTAACAATTTAAAATTCAAACAAAATATAATATAGTTTTTTCTTAACACAAATAGTCTTTAATCTTTCATACCATTTTAAATAATATTTTTTATACCCAGAAAAATTCAATTGCAGATCAAGTATTACTAAGAGTGCAATTTAGATGGAGCTTAATTGTTAGAACTATATTTTATTTGCATTTTAAAAATTCTCAAATTATATAGGATCAAAGTTAGACATAAAATATATTAGTGACACACATATAATGTTATATTCAGTTCTTAGTTTCAGTGCTTCGGTTCGGTACGATATGAGGATGTTCGGTTTGGTTCTCGGTACAGATATTTATGAAATCTCCAGAACCATACCAATTATTTATTCACTTTCGTTCGGTTTGGAGAAAGTCAAATGGTGAACGGTTATTTTTCGATTTGGAGTGATTTCAGTTTGTTTTCGGAACGTTTCGGAATTCTCCGAGTTCCATGCTTAGCCCTAATACAGTTACATACAACTTTCCACTACCTTTTACTGACTTGAGCGTAGGAGGTTTAACACCGGGAGTACCTCCCGTCGTCTTTGCAGGTCTCCGAAGACGAAGTGGTTGAGGATCAGTTGAAGGCCGGTTCGAGGTGCAAGAGCCCATCAAGCTCGCCACGTTTTGAATTATTATATAAGAGAGATTTGAAGGGTGTTAGATACTTGAATAACAATGTTTATAATAAAATAGGCTTCACATATAGCTTTTTTCTTTAATTTATTGCACTTTTTTTGTCTCAAGTTTATACTGAATTTACCAACTATAAAGTACAAAATACAGACAGTCTATAGTTAGAAGAGTTATACATATGCAAGTTTTTTTCAACACATATGTTCCATACGCAAGTTGGAAGAGATATTGCAGTGTAGGGCTGAGCATGGGACTCGGAGGATTTCGAATCGTTCTGAAAACCGAACCGAAATCACTCCGAACCGAAAAATAACCGTTGACCGTTTGAATTTCTCAGAATCGAACTGAACCGAAAAAATAATTGGTACGGTTTTGGAGATTTTCACAAATATCCGTACCGAGAACCGAACCGACCCGTCCCGTACCGTACCGAACCGAAGAACCGAAATTAAGAACCAAATTATAACATTAGATGTGTTATTAGTATATTTTATGTCACCTTTAATCCTATATAATATAGTAATAATAACTATTAACCTTCACCTAACTTTCATGCTTAATAATACTTGATCTACAATTGAATTTTTCTATTATAAAATAATTATTTAAAATAATATGAAAGGTTAAAGAATATTTTTTTAGAAAAAATATTATATTTTGTTTGAAATTTAAATTTTGAATATTAGTTAAACAAATTTAGTCTTAACTAAAACTTAGAGTTACTTATAAGTTGATTTCAGAATAAAGTTTTTAATATGAGGAAGTATTGATGAATGTTGGTTTTATTAAAGCATATAAACATTAAATAACTAAAATTTAGAGTTACTTCTAAAATTGATTTCAAAATAAAATCTTCAATATAATGAATTATTGATGAATGTTGTTTTTTAAAGCATATAAAAATTAAAATATAACTAGGTAGTTATTCAAAAAAAATCTAAAAAAATAAGAAATCTTCAAAGATCCGAACCAAATCATACCAAACCGAACCGTCCCAATAGCCCCGAATACGAACCGAAACAAAAAATAAAAATCTCCGAACCGAACCGAACCGACTTTTTGGTACGGTTCCGGAGATCGATTTTTGGGATCTCCGAACTTGGTACGGTTCTGGAGATTTATCAATCTCTGAACCGTACCGACACACGCTCACCCCTAGTTATATAGGCAAATCTTGTTATATATTTATTTTTAACACTTTTTAAGTTTCTATATTCTTTTTCTTAAATATTAACACTGCAAAATTGGGCTCGAGGTTAAATACTCATTAAATACTAATAGAATTTGATTATTTAGGTCTGGCAAAATATCTGATTCGAGCACAAATTTTTATGTGAGGCTTGTGAATTGTTAGGCCGGCCAACCTACCTTGTGAACAAAAGCGCAAATACTTAGGTGCGCCCTGGCACACCTAACAAGGTGTGCCAAAGTATTTTTAAAATAAACATGTTACACAATAAAATGAACATGCATAAACATGTTTACACATGTTCATTTTAAATTGTCTTGGCACACCTTGCTAGGTGTGCCAGGGCACACGGTAGTAGCACTGGAACAAAAGTGTATATGTACATCAATAAATGTCATAGAATGCTAACATAATAGTGGGACCGTAACATTTTCCCATAAGGGAAATGTTATGGTCCCGTTACAGTACCATCCCGTCGAGTGTTTTAACCATTGGATCATCTATTATAATATATATATTATAATATATATATATATGTTTATAATATATATCTATATATATATATAAAGAGGGAGTTGATGGAATTGATGTTACTAATGATAGCAGTAAATGCTTCTTTTGGAAATAGTATCAACAATATTTTTGGAAAATAAATATATAATTAGTATGTTTGCCCTTTTGATTTAATAAATCATTCATGATAATTATTTATCAGTTTAATATATAATGAGTATTTTCTATGACTTGATTTTTGGAAATAAATTTATAATTAGTATATTTGTCTTTTTGATTTACTAAATCATTCATGATAATCAATTATCAATTTAAACGATACAATACATATTAGTCATTGAATTAAATGATATAATACATATTAGTGCCTATGCATATATATAATTATCATGAAAATTAAGCATTATGCATAAAATAATTATTATGCGGCTTAGAGCATCTCCAAGAGCCTCCCTATTTCTTTTTTTTATCTCAAAAATAGGGATTTTCTCTCAAAAACTGTCTCCATCAGTTCCCCTAAACTTGGTCCTATTTTTAGGGTGACCTCAAATAGAGGCTTCTCTTCCTCATTTCTGGGGAGGGAAAAACGACCCCCTATTTCAAATAATAATAATAATTTAAAAAGAAATAATATTATATTAATACATGAAAAAATATAACAAATAATTAATAATAAATTACTAATAATAATAATTAAAATTAAAAAATTAAAAAAATAAAAATTGCTCAAAAAAATAATTTATTTGATTAAAAATTAATAAATTATAATAACAATTAGTATAATAATAATAATAATCTAAAAAGAAATAATATTATATTAATAAAGGAAAAATTATAAAAAATAATTAATAATAAATTACTAATTATAATAATTAAAAAAAATTAGCGAATATTATAAAATTAGTTAATTACTATTATAATCGTTAACAATTACAATATCAAGTGGGCTTCAAGTGGGCTTTTAGATAGATTTGTGGGCCTGGTTCATATTCAAATTATAAAATAGGGAGACTCTTGGAGAACAACAGAAAATAGGAAGCAAATGGATGTAGGATGACTCATTATTTCTCCAAATAAGAAGTCTAAAATAATAAGTCTCTTGGAGATGCTCTTATGATTCAAACTGATTCAAATTTCAAGTAATGCCTATACATAATATAATTATTATGTGG